ACCTGACATTGCAGTAATCAAAATTAAAGGTTTACCATTATTGTAATTACAGGTTTTACATATTATTATTTTTGCAATTTTAGTCTCAGTAAACTTTTTATTGATATCCTGTTTTTAATTATAATATTGAGGCTGAAAACATTATCAATTTTGAGTTTGATTATAACACAACACTTAAGAAAGACATTATATATTGCTTTGTGCCTTATTTAAATATTTCTGTGATACAGAGACATCACGCTTCTCTTTGGGAAATAGAATTGCTAAGCAACTAGAGCCACAGTAAAATAAACAGCCCTTTCAGAATGGGTTTGAGGAGAATCCAGTGGACAAAAGAAGGGAAGTTGTGGGAGTTTCCCATTAACAATGAAGCAGGTAAGTGTTTAATTTCAGAGGTTTATAGCATTCATTGATTAGATGTTTATTTCTGGAAGATGTTCTTTTTTACAGTCTACATATTTATGTGAATCTCAAAACACCTTAGATATCTTTTTAAGTGTTAGAATTTTTTTTAATTATAGATATTTGGTAAGTAAAATAAGGAAGTAAAACTACATGACAAAAATGCATCATGAATTTCTGTGACAAAAAAATTGAGAACTACAAATAAGAGATTTCAAGCTTATAAACAAGACATTCCTTGGTGCATCTCAAATGCTGGATTTGATATTATAGTTAAACTGGGGAGAGCACTGCAACTCTTTAAAGTCTTACACTGGTGTCTACTTCATAAACCAGTGTCTTCATGAGATGCAAGGTACTTACATAAGCTGCTCAAAACAAAAGTGTGAGGAGGCTTTAAAACCTTGGCTGCATGATATAGATGCTATTGGAATACAGTCTGTTGTCCTGGATATTTTCTGGAGATACTATCTTCCTCAGTCAAAAGGAAAACAGTATCAGTATGCTGGGGTTTTTTGTTTTTTTTTTTTATTGCACCCATTTTGTCATCAGTTAAACATTCTCATTGAGTTTTTCTAGGTACAGTTTTAAATTAGAAGAGATCCACTTATTTTTATGATAAGATTAACTAGAAGTTGCAAACACCTAAGTCTTAAGAAATGTAGTCTAGGGCTGGGGACATGGCTCCAGTGGTAGAGAGCTTGCCTAGCAAGCCTGAGGCCCTGAATTCAAACTCCAGTACCACAAAGAAAGAAAGAAATGCACTCTATATTCTTACCTTTGTGGTGTTAATGTATCATTGTAACATCTTTCTTTTTGGAGGAGGGAGTGGACTGGGTTTTAACTCAAGGATTTATATTTGCAAAGCAGGCACTCTACCGCTTAAGCCACACCACCAGTTTGTAATGTCTTAATTTTTGTTAACTTGTCCTTTGTTTGAATTTGTAAGTAGAATGGAAGCTTAAATATCAGAAATAGTCTAGTTCTTATTCCTGAGATGCTGGGATCATACCCAGGGCATTGTGCGTGCTTGGCAAGTGCTCTATCACTGAGCCCATCCTCTAGCCCCAATACTTAGCCTTATATCTTCATAAAGTATTACTTTTTTTTCTTTTTTTTGATGATGCTGAGGATTGAACCCAGGACTTGTGCATACTAGGCAAGCATTTTATTACTGAGCTACATCCCCAGACCTAGTATTACTTTCTATTGGAAAACTTCAGAAACTTAAAAATTCTTCAACAATTTCTTAATATTTTGTATGTTCATATGGTATATGCAGCACATAACAGTCTGTGTTTCACTATTATATAAAAGTGTATTTCTTAAAGTATTACAATTTGTGTGTTCTGGAAAGTATCAGAGCAAGATAAAAAGAACAGACTTGAATTTTGCAAATTGAAGTACAAATATCAGGTGTCAGTTATTAGCCCATTTACCTTTGAGTAAATTATTTAACTTCTGAGCCTCACTTTTCTCCTCTGCAAATTAAGGAGACCTAATTGGAAGAATGAGAACTTAACAAAGTTGCTGAAGTGTCCACACAGTTTTGGCATATTAATAATAATGAAATAAATGTCAGGTTCTTTCCCTTTTTTTTTGATCATAGAATTTTAAAAGGAGCAAAAATGAAGAAAATACAATGTGTGATTATTAAGGAAACATAGAATTTATTCTTAGAACATCTTTGGATTTCATTATTTGATGAACTTAGATTTCATTATTTTGATGATCAAGTTCTCAGAAATATGATAAAACACAGTATTAGCTGGACGCCAGTGGCTTACACCTGTAGTTAGGTACTCAGGAAGCAGAGATCAGGAGGATCAAGATTTGAAGGCCACCAAGACCCCATCTTGAAAATTCCAAAACAAAAAAAAGGCTGGAAGAGTGGTTCAAGCACTAAGAGTGCCGCCTAGCAAGTGCAGGGTCCTGAGCCTGAGTTCAAACCCCAGGGCTACAAAATAAAAAATAAAATAAACAAACAAACAAAACAAACTAAAAACAGTATTGAGAGGTAACATGAATTTATTCTGGAGACACATGAAGCATAGTACTTAGGAGTTTAAGTTCCTGAGCCTTAGACTTACCTTTCCTTGCTTCCTCATATCTAGCATGAACGAGAATATTAATAAGACCAACTTTATAGAAGTCTTGTGATGAACAAGTGAAGTTATACAAATAAAACGTAAAGTATCCCAGTTTTACAGACAGGTTTTGTTGGGTTTTTTTTTTTTGTTTTTGTGGTACTGGATTTGAACTGAGGACTTTGCATTTGCTAGATAAAAACTTTACTGCTTGAGCCATGCTTCCAGCTCTACAACAATATTGTAAGAGATTTGCTACTATAACTGTTTTTAAATACTATATTTAAAATTATTTATAGTGTATTCATTTTTAAAATTTATAGCAAGAATATTATGGATATCTAGGACCACAAAATAAGATGACAGGAAAGCATGATTGATAGTAAAAACACTAAAGTCATCAAAATCTTGAAGTGTCCAAACTTCAAAAGAATTTATCTTTTAATTTGATCTGATTTTCGAGAAAGTTTAGTTTCTAAAGGAAGAGACTTTTTGTAGTCAGGTTGGGGAAGTCAGAGCAAGTATGCATCTACATTGTTCATGGTTATTGGTGGATCATGGTTGAAAAGGGAAGTATCTCATTTCTAGCTCCTCAAGGTTGTTGTATATCTGAAGGAAACAAGCAAGGAACTGTGAAATTCTCACCTGGGTTCCTTCTGTCAGCATGCACTTAGAAAACTGAATACTTTGAGAGAGACTGGCATTGTAAACCTGGAACTTTGATACCATTCTTTTATAGTTTCACATTTAAATTTTAAAAATAATGAATGTCCTGCTTTCATTGTAAGAATCAGCTTGATGAAAATTTATTTTTTGATGATTTGGGGAGAGACATTTTTGTGGCTCCAATTATCAGATTTGGGAACTTAATTCTGAAAATAAAACAAAATGGTATGTTCTATTTACATTTTACTTCCAAGTGTTGTGTTTTTCCATTACATAAAAAAATTAAGGTTTTTTGTTTTACCACTTAATGTATATAAACTACTTTTCAAATTTACAGTAGCTTTTTTCCTATTCTCTTTTTTCACTAAGTTTCTGAAAAGAAGCTTAGCTTACTGATTTGAGACCTTTCCTCTTCTAGTGTATGCATTTTTCTTGTCTTTTGATATATTTAGGCCATTTAAGTTTATAGTAATTGAAGATTTGTTAGTATTTAAGTCTTTCATTTTATTGTTTTCTATTCATTTTCTCTTTCTCATTGTCCTATTTGTCTTTTTTGTGCTACTTGAACATTTTTTTAGTCCATCTGGTTTGATTTACATATTTTTAAATATACTTTGTGTGGTTTTCTTAGTGGTTGCCCTAGATATTAAAATATTTTTTTTGCAACAGTTGCTTCTATACTTTGAAAACTTATTGAATGCTTTATATAATTTGTGTTTGTTTAATATTTCCCAAAATGCCACAAAGATGCTCCTTTCATCCTCATGCTATACTTGAGGAAACTAATGCTCAGAAAAGTTAGTTTGCCAAAAGCCACAGTTGTTACATTGGTGGTCAAACTTAGGTGTAACTCCAAAGTTCATGCCTTTAACAGTGTCTTGTTACATGATTGATACTAACTTTATGATGTATAAGCTTTACACCCAAAATTTTAATGTAATTTTTTTGTCTTATTTCCTAGGTTTTGATGATGATGGTTCAGAATTTCATGAACATATATTTCTGGATAAGTACCTGGAGGGTTTTCCAAAGCAAGGACCAATTCGCCACTTCATGGAGCTAGTGACTTGTGGCCTTTCCAAAAATCCATATCTGAGTGTTAAGCAGAAGGTTGAGCACATAGAATGGTTTAGAAATTATTTTAATGAAAAAAGGGACATTCTTAAAGAAAGTAATATACAGTTCAATTAACATGATAGAAATTTTTTATTTCGAACTGTTGGATATTGTAACTAAATAAAATAATTTTGCTACAAAGTTTTTCTGTTCATTATTATAGCTGATTTTCTTGGTATAAATGTTAAATTATATTTTTTAGTATAATGGTACCTGAAAAATATTTTTTTTGTTTGTTGCTGTTGTTGATTTATTCACATGTGCATACATTGTTTGGGT